TTTCAGATGTGGAGCAGGAAGGTTTAAACAGCAAGCGTCCTCTAGAGTGGAAGGAACTTCTTTAGCACTCATTCCGGGCTCTCTTTCCTGCCACAGACATGCTTTCTGCTGCGTGGTGGTCTGTAACAGGTGGAATTCAAGGTTCTGTGCCCTCGGCAATGCTAATCACCAAGTACTTGGAGCTGCTTTGTTTCTGTCTATTTTCAGATAGGTAGTGCCATTAAGAACTGCCTCACTCCCCTTCCCTGACCTCCTCTTCACTGTGCTCCAGAAAGACCCTGTAGCCCATAAATCATGTTACAGGACTGAGGTGGTCTTGCCACAAGACAACTTCTATGCCAAGAGATTGTAAGTCACTGAAATGTTATATTAACTTCATGGATTTCTGGTTTTTGTTTGTTTTTTCCCATGTCTTTTCTCTTCTAAACACCCAGTGGAAACACCACCTTTCTTAAACCTCACTGCATCACGTGGGATTTATAGAGAAGAATATTGCTGTTAACAGCAAACTGTCAAATCTCAAACAGATCAAAGAAGTGAAACAAGGAATGAATAGACTGAGCTCTTCAGGCCATGCTGATTCCAAAGTAATACTTTTCTTCCTTCTGTCATAAGAATTTATGTGCTTGTGAGAATCTGATCAGGTGGGAAGAGCTTTCCGCCTTTGTCTGCATCAAAGTCCATATGTTCTTGAATTGCTGTAATTCATTCTTTGCATTTTAATCTCTGGCCATATGTATAAAAATAATTACCTGCCTTGAGGGACAGGGGATTTTATTGCATTTCCATGAGAGTCCAAAAGGTTCCTGCTTAAGATATCACAGAAGTGGCAAACCAATGGGTTGGAGGAACTGGATTAATTTAGAGGCAAAAGTAACCTGTATGCAGGGAATGTACATCAGGTTGATTTATCATTAAGAGATTACGAGTCAAGTAAACCTGGAGTGAAATCAGAATACGATGGGAAATGATATTTGTAGAAAACATGAAAGTGCTTGCAATATTCTTAAAACCAATGTGTATGACACTGTTTGTCCTCCACGTTGCATCCCATCAGCTTATGAAGACATCAAATCCTTCTGCAGGACAGATGTAAAGAGGACAGACCCTGCTGTCATACTTTCCCATGTGGAATGGAAAGGTGTTGTTAGCAGGACCAGTGCTGGTGGGACTGGACTGTGGCTGGTTTCTGCTGGGAGCAACAGATTTGTGGCAGAGTGGCAGATGAACCTGGAAACGTTTCAGATGGATGATGGATATGGTGAACCAAGAGTGTGAGGGAAAAAGGAGAACTAACATGAGAGCAAGGATAGGATCCTAGAGAATGGGACCTACTGGGTATAGGTCCATCACAGACCCACAGACTGGTTTGGGCTAGAAGGGACCTCAAAGCTCCTCCAGCTCCAACCCCCTGCCACGGGCAGGGACACCTTCCACTAGAGCAGGTTGCTCCAAGCCCCTGTGTCCAACCTGGCCTTGAACACTGCCAGGGATGGGGCAGCCACAGCTTCTCTGGGCACCCTGTGCCAGTGTCCCACCACTCCCATAGTGAAGAATATTTTCCTAATATCTAATCAAAACCTCCACTCTGTCACCTTGAAGCCATTCCATCTTGTCCCACTACATTCCTTTGTAAAATGTCCCTCTCCAGATTTCTCGTAGGCCCCCTTTAGGTATCGGAAGACTGTTATAAGCTCTCCCCAGAGTCTTTTCTTCTCCAGGCATCACCACTGCAAGCATATACAGATGGAACAGCAGCTGGATCAGCCACACTGTCTGAGGTGTGTCCTGAGGCCACCATATAGCCACCCATGCTGGAAAAAGCTCTGATGCTCTTCTGGCTGGCACCAGTCCCCCTTCCCCTTCCAAAGTGCTGTAGACAACACCCACCCAGATGAGCCAGACACACGCTAAGCACCTTCCCGAAGTGCGAGAAGCTGCAGAAAGAGCCAGCCATTCTCATCACTTTCCATAAGTATCTGAGAAAGAAACCCCAAGAGTTTATCTTGATCTCTTAATCCATCAGATTTCTTTTCTCTTTGCTTTCTCTGCAAGCCTGGTAATTATAATTTATAACACCTGCTCACTTTGAAATACCTTGGACTCCTTCTGCCTGGCAGAGGAACAGACACAGTGCCCATCTGCTTTAGGTAAGTGCTCACTAACCACAAAGTCGTTAATTAGACTGACACACGACTCTTCCAGAATACACATGGTATGTTGTTACTGCACCTATAAACCACTGGCAACCAGATACTCTGCCAGGGGATCACAGCTAGATCAGAGCATTACGTAAAGCCTTGGCACCCGTAGCAGGGCTCAGAGCATTGCCATCAGGTGTGCATGTTCTCTCTAATCCTCCCCACCAGGCTTCCCAACATGCTTCCCAGATAAAGAAGCCTGCTGGGAAGCAGCTCCCTCACGGCTGGTAGGAAGCTCAGACTCCAGTGTTGTATTCTCTTCTTTTGAAATCCAAATTCCTCTTTGTATTCGTTTAGTGATTGCTGCCAAGGTCTCCTTCCTGACAGCTCGGGTTCCAGGCAGTGATGCCTCCACATCCTGTAGCTGACAGGGAGCAAGGCAGGTCTGATTCTCGCCCCACGGGCAAGGCTGCAGCTTCAGAGGACCTGAGATGAGGGGTGTTTATAAGGATGGGTACGTCTGATGTGGATGGGGGTATTTGGGTGGATTTGACACTTGCCTCCTCAGGCCAGCTGGCATCCATGGGGCAGAGTGAATCATGAGCATCCCTGGTCGGGAAATGCTCAGCCCCTATAAGTGGATGCCTCCCTCTGGAAGAGGAGTGGCCCAGAGCACATCAGGTCCCTGATAAGTGATACTCGGTGGTGTGCAGTAAACCAGCCTGGAGCAGCCAAGCTTTGGGTCAGCACATGAAGAGACAGGGAATGGGTGTCCTTGACCCACGAATGCCCTTGGCACAGAGTGAAGTTGATGAGTGAAAACCTCTGCCCAGTTTACAGTCTTCCCAGCACTTGTGTTAGTGTTTGCAGGAGGAAACCCTGCTCGTGTGCTTGAAATAGTATTTGCCACAACTCAGTCCTGCATCTTACTCAGAAAAGGTATGGGGCAATGGGAACATCCTCTTGGAGAGCATCCCTGTCCCTCCAATCTCACCTAAACTTGCCTGAATCTAAAGCCAGGTTTTTAGGCATGCTGTCCTGTGAACAACTGGGACTTTAGTAACTTCAATTACTTAGAGAGCAAGTCTTGCCTCATCTCGGTTAGTTAAATTTAGTGTCCTCCCATTGCTGGTTCCTGCACAAGAACGTCTTTTGTGGGTGACATCATGGAAAATCCTGCGCACCTTTAAGAGGAGGTTCCTTCCCTGAAGACAGATCCTCATGTTAACCAGATCAGAAGGGAAGAGTGGGGGGAGGCCCACAGGAGAGCAGTGTAAGCCTGGTCTTTGTGACACCTACCCAGTGTTTCTCCTTCCTTGCTTCTGGTCTTCTAGTGTCAGATGTGAAAGCAGGACCTAGGCCATGTTAATGGAGAGCTGCTGCTCACTTGTTTGGCCACTTCATCCCTTGAGCTGCCTGGTAAGTCCTACTGGTAGAGCTATGCTCAAAACTATTGTTCTCATCTTCCACTTAGTTGGCTGCTTCCATCATAAACCTGAGGAAAGGCTTGTATATTGAGAAGCCTGTTTTTCCCCTCCTGTGCCAGCTTGTCCATAAGAGATACATACTTTCCCTTCAAATCCTGCCCAAATCCCAGAATGACGAATGGGGACATCAAATGCAAATATCCGAAAGAGCAAGAAAATAAGCAGTGCACAATCCCGTTCTGTCTAGTACAGCTCTCTGTTCCACTCATGCCTGCTCCCATTTGCACCCCCCTTTTCAGCTCTCCTGCCTGCTTTGTGGAATATTAACTCTCTGCTTTGCAAGTTGGCAGCACATGCGAAGTGCCACACAAGGATGGTAATTCATCAACTGTCATGATGTGCTATAAAGGCTCTTCCCCTTTCTGAGCGGAATAAAGTAGTCTCTGAGCAACACGAGTACACTGGGTCTCAGATAGTCTGACCAGTAATGCCTGGAAACCACGCTGTAGGTGACCTATAGGTGTTCCAGGCTGGCTACATTTTTGGCAGTGAATACACAAGAGTCTCATAAACTTGTGGAAAATGACTCAGTTGAAAAAGAAGGAAGAAAAAGAATCCCTCTAATGCAGACCTGGAGGCTCTTGGCCCGAGGTTAGTAACTACATTTGGAGAAGTCATGGCAGCACCAATGGAAACCAAGCAGAGCATCTTAGCTCTGTATCTGCCTTAAGACATAGTGACTGTCCACCCTGTGCCACTGCTGTTCACAGTGGTTCAGCCCAATTCAGAATGCTCTGACAAGCTTTGGTGGTGCTGATTACACAAGCTGGGTAATTACCAAACAGACCACCCCTAAATTCAGTGGCACTACCAGGATCTGACTGCGAGTGTGTCCTGACTCAGGAAAACTGCAGTTACTTCAGTGATGGGTGATTTTTAGCGAATACAATAGGACAAACCTGTTGTGGATATAGTTATTTTAAAGGAAAAGCATTTTAGAGCATTTCTACCGTGCCATAGGTACCCTCTATCTGGGTAAAACAGCTCATCTTGCATATTGACACATCCGAGTGTCCTCTGTGCTCCCTGGCAGGTCCTTTTGCCACTGTGGTCCACAGCAGAGAGGACAGAGCCCCTTCTGGGTGGATATTTTCCAGCATTCCTTGAAATAAGCACTGGTGCTGGTGGCCTTTTCATCACAACACACACATGGGGGGCTGTAATTTCAACATCCTTTACCAAGACAATGTTCCTTCCTTGAAATCTGCCCTCCTCTCCCTTCTAAGCTAAGTGACAGTAATCTTTTCTTTAATTGGGAAAGAAAAGGAAGAAGGGACAGAACATCCTTGACAAAGGAATGATTCAAGTGCTGGGAAGCCCTGGGGGCCCCAAGGGACTGTGCAGTTCACAGCAGTGATTTTTAATGACTTACAGAGATTGGAGGTTTGGAAGATCTCTCAGTGCCTCTGCAGGGATGCAACTCATCTGATTGTTCTGCAGCATCCTATAATTAGAAAAAAGAAAACTTGGTTGAAAAAAAAAGCCTGAGACAATATGGAGGATGTCACTGATTGTTTCTGAAGCTGTTCTGGACTCCTGTTGGAAAGCTGGAGGGACTGGAAAACACCCCCTTGGTCACTCAGGGCTCTTAGGCAAGCTTAAGGCTGCTGGCCTGGGATCCTGCAGCACAGGGTACCAGGGGTGAGCTTGGTGAGGGAAGGATGTGACCATAAGGGGGCCTTTCCACTGCACACTGTTAGTCTCGAGTCCTACCAGTGCTTCCAGCTGAGTTGTCCATATTAATACTTGTATAACAGATTAATCTCCCAGTGTGTGCCAGTGGTGGTTACCTCTGCAGGGTCTATGGAAACTAGCCTGTGGGCAGGTTTTTATTCAGCTGCAAACACAATGGGTGAGGAGCCACTCCATAGCGGTTTGCTAAGGGGCTTTGGAGCATTAGCACAACTTGAAGAAGTAACTGGAGCTGGTGTGGAAAAATCCAAACCAGCCAAGAAGCTTCAGAGGAGCGGGTGTCTGGAGCCATTGGGCTGAATGGGCAGAACCCAGGAGAACTTCTCAGAAAGAAAAGTGAGCACAGGGCATGGAGAAGCACCACGGGAAGCTCATCAAGGTGGACAACTTTATACAAAGACCAACACAACTTCTGGGGCTCCTAGTCCTGCATATGGGTTTGTCTCTGCAGCTGAGACGTGCTGGAGGGGTAAGACACTGTGTCCTGCAGCCCCGTGGAGAAGTTCAACAATTCAGGTCTGTTCAAAATCAAGAAGATGCACAGCTGAATAGAGTGGGTCGTTAGGAACTGCTGTTGGGGTTTTGGTGGGACATGCTGGAGCTCAGTGGCTCTATGAAATCTGAGCTCAGTGCTTAGAGCTGGTCAGGGGAAGTATCTGGAGTCAATATTAAAGCAAAACCCACTGTCATACTTCTGCTGGATCCTGCTGCCTCCCATCTATTACAAGTCCCTTCTCCAACCAGTAACACAGACTGAGAGACTTTCCAGACCACCAGCAGCATGGGCTGGTTCCAAAATGAAGCCAGTTTGGCACAGACAAATGGTATGGAGAGCATGGTAAGGCATATGAAAAACAGTGAGGTGGTTGGTGACAGCCAACGTGGCTTCACTAAGGGGAAATCTTTCCAATTTGGTGGCCTTCTATGATGGGGTTATGGAACTGATGAATGGGGCAGAGCAGTTGGAGTCATCTACCTGGACTTGTGCAAAGCATTTGACACTGTCCCACACGACATCCTTGTCTCTAAACTGGAGAGACACCAATTTGATGGATGGATCGCTTGGATAAAGAACTGGCTGGATGGCCACACATGAAGAGTTGTGGTCAATGGCTCCATGTCCAGCTGGAGATGGGTAACGAGTGGTGTCCCTCAGGGGTCAATGTTGGGACCGATCCTTTTCAAGATCTTAGTCGGTGACATGGGCAGTGGGATTGATGCACCCTCAGCAAGTTTGTGATGACACCAAGCTGTGTGGTTTGGTTGATACGCTGGACGGAAGGGATGCCATCCAGATGATGGCATCACACTGGCCTCAGCCTTCTTCTTCAGCATCTGTCTTTGCTCCTCCCTCTCCATCAGCTCCTGGCTCCAATTCAAACAAAATTCCTGGACTTTGTTAGCTTTCCTACTGCAGGCTGCTGCTTCACAGGAGCCTGGAGACACCCTTATCCACAGCTGGATGTCTTGTGCTCATGGAGCAACGTCACTGTCTACTGAGCTCTGTGACCACCCTGGTTGGTGCAGTCTTTCAACTGCTGAGTGCATTTTTCTGTCTTCAAGCAGCTGTATCAATGAGTAAAGTCCTACAGGACTGTGCTGGTTGATAAGCCACTATCAAAGGCAGGGCCAGACCACCTGGGCAAGCTGAGGACATTGATGAGTATGGTGAGCAAGGACCTCTCAGGCCAGCAAGTGCTCGAAAGTGGGTCTGGATAGTGGAGTCGCCTTTGGCTGACACTGTTGAGGTGACCATAGTGGAGCTTGCAGACACTTGCAGACAGGGATGCACAACCTGCTATCCACAGCAGCCTGAATGGAACCAGCATAAATCACAACTCTTCAGAGGTCATGTTTTATTTTCAGAAGTAGGAGGATTGTTTGTTGGCAGAGACCATCCCCAGAAGACCAGAAAAATGCTGGGATCGGGTCCCATCACACCAGGATCCTTGCACAAGACAGTGTTAGCAGACTTACAGCCCTCAGAAGTACAGGCCTGTGCATGATAAAATGTCCCCATCTTGGGAGGCTGAAGTGACTCAGCCAGCACAGTCAAAGGGCTGTTATCGCTTGAGGCAACTGTGCCTGGAGCTTGTGCACGGGGATTAAAGACATTCCAACTTCTGCACGTTTCTCTTCCCTCCCCATGGGAGCGCCTCTTGGATATGCCACACCATTCCCTTTGTTTCAAAGGTGTTTCTGTTCTGCACAGGTAGACGTCAGGTCTCTCTGGGGACTCCTGAAGTGTCCCAAGCCACCTGCAGACCTGCCGTCCCGAGGCAACATGGCTTTTTTGGCGATGTTTTTTGATGTGTGCTCAACAAGCCAGGCTAGACAGTGCTTGCCCTGGACCACAGGAGATGCTGCGATTGCAGCTCAAGGTGGGAAGAGAAAGAGGGACCAGTGCGGGTGGCCATTGGGTAGGGTCCATCCGGCCAGGAAACGTGTCATGTGCAGAGCAAGGCCATCGTGCCGGGCTCACTCCAGCCAACAGGAGCTGGATGGAGACCAGCTGTGGACAGCACCGGGACAGTGTGTGGATGGGAGCGGCTGCAGGCAGCACTGAGTCACACGCTGGTGCAGGCAGCTGTGGGCACCGCTGGGTCTGGGTGCTCTCACTGGCTCCTTGAGGAATGGAGCAACAGCGTGGGCCACCCCAGCCAGCTGCTGTGGGTGCAGGGTCTGCGGCCAAAAGGATGCACCCAGGCATTTTGCCCTCCATATTTTGGGGTGAGGCAGGCTCAGGTTGTGGTTGTACTTGGAGACTTTCCCTGCAGAGTTTGGTGTGGGATTCCTTCTTGGCTAGTAAGTGCTGCTGCTGCATGTTCAGCCAGGAAAGTAGGAGTCCTGGCAATCCTGCTTGTGCTGCAGAGAGCATTTGATGAGGGATGCATGTGCAAGGGTGGGATGTGGTGTGAAGTTGTGGCAGCACAAGCTTAACCACATTGCCAGCTGGGATGGATGCTTCCTGGCAGATGGAGCTCCATTCAGGGCACTCGGAGGTGAGGGGTATTCAGGCAACTCAAGAGCAGGTCTGGAAGGACAGGCAACTTTCCAGTTTTCCAGAGACTCGGATAAGGTGGCATATTCTGCTACCCTGGAAAGCTCCAAGGCTGGAAAAGCATGGACTAAAGAGTTAATTTTGTAAGAGAAGGACCTTGTCAGAGGAGACAAACCAGCCTATGGATCTGGTTTCTAATGATCTTCTGAAGCATGGACCCAAGAGCATCAACCTCTGCAGGGAAGGTGTGGGTTGGCCAGAGCCCCTGCGAGAGGTGCACTTACAATGTCTCTTTGCAAAGGGATGTTCCCATCGGCTGAGAAGACCTCAGAGCACCAGCTACCCCTGCTTCCAGCCTGCACTCATTTGAGGGGAGCTGAGGAGGCCACATCTCACCTCGCCTTTGGCTCGCTCAAGGCTCGGTGCATGAAGATCTCAGCGTACTCCCTGTGTCGGCAATGGGGCAGCCTGGCTCCTCGCTTGCTCTCTTTCACATCTCCACACACCTGCCTCCCCGGGTGCACTCCTGCATGGTTTCTGCACAGGCCTATCTTCATGGCCACTTTCCAGGTGGTTTTTGTGCAGTGAAGCAGCTGGAGGAGGCAGAGCCAAGAATCTCGTCCTGCTTCCAGTAGCTCTGGGATTCACTGCGAGGGCAGGGAGAGGACCATCTGCACAGGCAGGTTTGTGGAGGAAATCCCAGGGTGTTTCCCATCCTTTCTAAAACATAAACTGATTCTCTGGAAAGACTGGGAAAGCACCAGGCCCCCTGACACCCCAAGATGAATGTGAGTGTTTACTCGTGGACATGCACGTGATTGCAATTAGCACATTAAAATCAAGTCATGAAACCTGTTGCCATCCCCAACCTGTCTCCGTGGGGGACACCCCTGTCACCAGAGGTAAGATCTCTGATACTGATGTGAGTCAGCTCCTGAATACCTACAGGCTTCAGCTGGTCATGTTTGGGGCAGCCATTCCCAGCTCCAGCCATGCCTGTTACCTGTCAACCCTCAGCCAACCTTTGACAGAGCATCCGCAGTTTTAGACATAAACTGTCCTGAATATCCCCGGTGCCTTCTGCTCCAAAACCTATTTCAGACATGGGGAACATGTATTTCCTTCCTTAATGCAGCAGCTACTTGTCCTGAAAGGTTTGTGTTCATCCTCTTTCACTTCTCCTTCAGGTTAAGTAACCTCAGTTTACTCATTATCCCATTAGGTCATCACCAGACCCTTGATCCTTTTCACTGTTTTTGGATAAAGCAATTCAGTTTTCTTCACTGGGCTGCAGGACCTCCAGCACACTTCGGCCACAAAAGCAAACCCATATGCAGGACCAGGAGCCCCAGAAGCTGTGTTGGTCCTCCTGTGAAGCTGCCCACCTGGTTAAGCTTCCCCATTGCAGTGGGCTGCAGAGAGCACCTGTGGGATTGTCCTTTCACAAGCATGGAGGAAGAACCAGGGATGATGATCATGGACCTGCACGGTTCACACCTCTCAGCTCCTCTCAGAGGGGTCCCAGCAGCCTTGCACTGTGCAGCCCGTGGGAACTGGCTCTGAGTGCATCAGTGAGGAAGCTCGTGGTGCTCTGTGGTCCCTGCACTTGGCCTGTGTCCATGCAGAGCAGGCGGTGAGAAGATCACCAGGGAAGGTGAAGAGAGGTCTTGAGGATGGCTGGATGGTGGGGTACAACAGAATAATTAGAGGAAAATGAGGAGCTGATGGAGCAGGGATCTGAGACTGCCGGAGTGTTTAAGGCTCAGACTACCCCCTGCACGCACCAAGACGTCTGAGGCTATTTCTGCTGCCCATGGACCAGTTTTACACAGGAGATGCAGGAGGAGGACATGGGCAGAGGGTTCATTTCCAATCACTCCCAGCCCTGCCCTGCCCCA